AATCTTTAAGGTTTACAACTAGGGTCAGGAGTCACTTGCATAGCTTTCTTTTCATTAATTAGGTTTCAGTGTTTAATTTAACTACCTTCTTACCCTTTTGTGCTTTTAATCAAACATATTATGGCCTGGTAGCCTTCCAACTGTTATTTGTGAACACACAGCTTTCTAGCTACTCCTCAACAGTCTTGGCAGCAGTTCATGGTGTCACCGGGGGGAAGTATTTAACAATGTACTGCAGTCCCGAGCCTGTTTCCCCTCCCCACCCAAAATGGACTTGCTAGGAATAAAAAACCTTTCACTACGAGCCTGACACATTTATCAGAGTCCTCCCGAACATTTGTATCAACACAGCTTGCTGTTACACAGTGAACGGCCAAATTCTCCACGCGATAAATCCATTTCACCATAGCAGTACAACTAGCTTACAAGTTTCAAAATATTTGGCATGGCATAAATTTCCTGAAGTTCAGGTCCTAGGCATAGTTTACAAGTATAGTTTATAAGTTTATAAAACAAGAAGAAAAACATAAAAAAAATAAAACACTAAGAAAATTTAGAAAGAAAAAAAGTTTTTAGTGCTCCCTATAAGAAAATCTTAGAAACACTAATCTTATTATTCACTCTCTAGTTCTGTCATAGTGGGATCTCTCATTTTGAAACACTCTTCAGAAAGAATGACAACACATGGATAGAAAGTTAGTACTAATAAACATGAAGCAAACAGAGCAGACAGACACAGGACACACAAAATAGTAGGGAGGAATAAGCAGCCCCGGCATTTTACAAAACTCTTTTTCATCCTGCCTCTTTAGTAACCAGTAAGAGTAACCAAAGCAACAAGGACTTCTTTGGGAAGGCAAAGTGCAGGGGGGCTGTGGGGGGTGTGTGTGGAAACAACACACAAGACTTGGAGACCTTGAAAAATGCACAAAAGGAGACCTTGAGGAGAAAGTCAATAAGGGTATTATCCTATTTCTTATGGGTAATTCATGGGTAATGACTCCTCTGCTTTCTACTTTATTTTTTTTATATTCTGCATTACAATGCCCAATTTCCCTGCTTTCCACAAAAGTAAACCAATGGTTAAGAAGAAAATCTTTCTTTGGAGGGCAGCTTGTTACAAAGTAAGCAAATACCCAACAGGTTACTTCCAAAAAGTCAAAGGGAATTTTGCCTGATGAAAGATTAGAAAACTGATCCAGAGTTATGGCCTCCCATGTCATGCCCAGACAACAGCTTGGCTTTGCCAGCTGCTGGTTATGTGTAACATACTATAAAGCCTGTATTTCCTCTTACTTCCTTTCAGGTAAGTACCAGAGTCCCAAGTGATGTGTACTTGTACTACTCGTCTGATTTGAGGAGATTCAGATTTGTACATTAGCAGAAAAATCATTCTGGACTCAATACTTCTTGATACCTTAAGGCCTACCATGCTTAGACACAAGAAGTGGTTCAATGGTGGCTACTTCCAAAAAAATCCCCAGCAATTAAAAGGTCATTGTTTACTGCCCAAACTTTCAATAATTTGAAAAATGTTGTAAGCTAGTCAGTGTAGTTATCACTCACCAAAAGAATGCTTGCCACTCTTTTCCAGGTGCCTTACCCATTGTTTCCAAGCACCAAAACCCTTAGAATGCATTCGAAGTACACAGATTCTTTCCTTTCCCACTCACTGTAATTCATTATTTTTATACACAAAATACAGGAAGAGTTTATGGCTAATTTCTTCTTTTTTTGGAGGGGGAGGGGGCGCCCCACAATTTTGACATCAAGACAAGAAAATATTACAGCAGTCATTGCTTTTAAATTGTGCCCCAGAGCAGTCAGGATAACAGTAAGCTCCTTTGCTGAAAAACAGTATTTCAAAGAAGGTTAGCCTGGGTACCTGGACATCCTTGACAGATTTCTCCAGATACTGATCTCGGCCCCTAGTGGGAAGGAACCACCAATATACCTCCAACCCAGCGAGTAGACAGCATAAAAAGGCAATGCTGACTGCATCTAATTTATGTTCTTGGTCTTTGGACCATGCAAGGACAGAGCAGGTAAGGAGCAGACAGACAACTTCGGATGAAATTGTATTAAATCACTGTTGAGATAAGGATTCATTATGGGTGGGATTTTAAATATCTTGATGGCCTTTTCCAAGTGTCTTGGTGGTCTGAGGAGTGAAAGGTTGTGAGAAAATAGCTCACAAAGACCTTCTAGGACGAACTGGCTAGCATAATTCTCCAATAAAGAAAAGTTTCTGCCTTCTTCATCCCCAAGTAACATGTTTGTCCACCCTCTATTACAGTTTGTTATCTATAATTTAGGAAAAAAAAATTATAATCTTCAGATTTGCCATTGTAGTCCAGATAACCAGGTACATAGTCTGCACACACTATCAGACTGTTCAATTAGACTTAATCTGTGTTAATTAAGCTTTCCATTTTCCAAGCTGTATTTTAATACATTTGGATCATGAAAACAAAATCTTTATCTTCATTAAACTGATTCAACAAGATAAAAATATTAACAAAGATGCATTTAACATCATTGCAGTATAAATCCTGTCCATCAAATGATGGTATAAATTAACAGCAAATCTCTAATTGTTGTGAAATATCAATTTAGCATAAAAAACCCCAGCACATCTGAATTATTGACTTCAAGAAAAGTTGTATTAATCTTATTTTAATACCTTTACTTTAAGAGTTCCATGCTATTAATGGAAAATAAAATCCTGCTGACACTTACTAGAGAAATGAAATATAAAACAAGCATCCTATGTATTATTACCTTATGGTGATCATCTCCACTACATACATCACGCAAAACTGCCTTTTGAACTAGTTATGCTGGCATATGTAACTTATAGAATTAAAGACTACAGTGACCTGTGCAGTTGAGCAACATCAAAAAAAATATCAGGCTGAAAGTTCTGCTATTATGCTGATCATATTGTAAGCAGGGTCCTCTTCAGCAGTGCCCCAAATCTTTACTCTTCATCAATGTTAAAAAGTATTTTATCCACTGTCGTCCACTTTATTAATTTCTGTCATCACAGACCTAAGGGTTTGAAAGCACTATCCTTATCAAGGTCCAAGTAGCAACTTAAGGAACTAGATAAACAAGCAGTGACACTCTTTTAAGTGATACACAATGAGTCCAGAAAAGGAGGATAATTGCAGTAATCCATCTGACATTCGGAATGTAACAGCAGTCATTAGCAACACTGGACATGCCCATTTCCACTCTTACATAGAACTACACAGACTGACTACCTCAGTTACTACACAGAACTACAAAGGTTTAACTGAGACTAGCACCCAATCCTTCAACTATATATATTTTTAAACAGCTGTCTGCTAATTTGAAATACTAGAAAGAACCTCAGTGCCAAGAAGGACATCCGCAGCACATTTTGTTCAATCAAGATTACTCCTGCATAGCACATCTCTACGAGCCTCTGTCTCTGCCCATCAAGATAGAAGAGTCAAGTAGCTAAATTCAGAAGAGGCCATATCTAAAAATCCATGTGCCTTGCATTGTATAGTCATTGCTTCCTGTCTAGTTTGACCTTGGATTGTGCTGAGTGCATGCATGTGTCCCTACATGTGACAGTGTTCCTCTGTCAACAGCCCTCCTCAACATCCTCTTTCTCAAAAAAAAAAAATATCCCTTAACATGGCAAACTGATCCTGTTACCCATGACTTCAGAGAGCTACAATGGCCTGGAAAAGCTTGGAGGAATCAAAAAGTAATGACAAATGGAGTGACAGAGTGAGAGAAGGAAAACAGGAAGAGCTGGAGGGAGGGATACTTCTGTAATGTAAAACAATATTCTTCTACATTGAAACAATTGCCTGGAAAATGAAAGAAGGAGTAAAGTAAAAGAAAGAGATCAATAAGAAGGTAGACGTGACAGAAGAGTATGATGATAGAATAAGGAAGCAGCAGAGTCCTTCCCTTAGCTATCCTTGTCCAGACATCTCTGCTGTTGCACTGGCAAAAGCCACCATTGGCAATTTGGTCATAATAAAGCCACTGCCTTCTCCTTCATATACTTTCTCAACAAAAGACAAGAAATTGGGCTAACAGTTGTGTGCCATGTACATGATTAACAAAATTAAATACCAATAGGATTTTTTTTCCCCTAAAAGAAATGCTGCAGAATGATTGCTATTAGATTCGAAATGAGCGCAACCAAAGACTGTCTTATTACTTGTATTACAACAGAAAGTCAGACTAGATACTAAAGTCCTTCAAGTCCTACGAAATTATGAAAAAAGCATTCACAAAGTTACAAGTAGGAGATTATTTGACACAACAGCCACTTTGAAACATCAAAAGATCACTGGAATTGTATTATCAGCTGTAAGACAAGGTACACTTTTTTTTTTTAAACAAACTGATGTCTGCCACTAACAGGTAATGAAGGATACTTCTTTTTTTCCCTCCTACACTGACAACAAAAAAAAGGGGAAAAAAAAAGAAAAAAAAAAAAGACACACACATATGAAACAAGAATATACTATATTTATGCCAGGAAGAAAACATACACATCACTATACCGAAGCACAAGTAGCTTAATTGCTTAATAGCTTGATTGCTGAATCTCAAAAAAGAAAACATATTATTTTAAAATGTTATAAAACACAGTGAAGCAGGAAACATGCAAGTTTAACTGTTATGAAAAGCAGATTCCAAAGTGCATACGATAAACTAGTAAGGGAAATTGCATTACAAGGTTTTTAACTTCCAAAGTGCATTGCGTCTATACTACATTGGTTTTGATCTTTCCATTTAAGTTATTTTACAGACCAGGATACATAAATAACGCATTCCTCCTATAACAAAAAACAACTAGAAAAAAGTAGCAAATTGCAAATTATGAAGAAAGGCTTTAACTTATACATCAGATTTTACATCTACCATTTCAATACATTATCAAAATGGACACTAAGCGCTCAGTATCTTTTTTCTACTGCTACAAGAGAGAAATAATTTCCTCTTACCTGTGCTCTAACTCTCGGATGGACAGTATAACTCCAGAAGTCGACGCCTTCTGTTGCAGGGTGGCCAGAAATGTGAACTCACTTTTATTCCGGAAGAGCTGAATTAACTTCTCGCTCACATGGGGCGCCGCATGGATTTCTCTTTCTGTGTCTAAGAATTTTATTTTAAAAAAAGAGTAAAAATGCTAAGTCAGAAAGATTCAGATTACATTTTTCATTTCCCCATCAATATTTTTTATTTTTGAGAGTCATCTACCATGTTCCACCACTGCATTTGTTCAATAAAAAAAAACCAAATGCCATCTCTGTCAGCATGCCCACTTGTCACTTTGACAAGTTCACAACTGGTCAGCTACTGATTTTCTGACAGAATTTTTAACAGGATGCTGAGCCATTTGTGTCTGCTGTGAGCAGATTAAGTTGCTGTAAATAAGGTGTGCTGCAGTCAGATAAATAGGCTCCTAAATTCTGAGAAATCTCCAGCACTGCCTCTCCCAACACAATTCACCAAGCTCCAATTTCAGTTTTTACCACTGACTCCATTACCACCTCTCCATCGTACATCAGAGGAAACCTGTCCTTGCACTGTGTAAGGCAGAGATGTATTATTGCTAATAATGGTATACGGCTGTGCTTCTGCCCAAGAAATAAATACAAGACACACTTGCAATCCACTATCTTCTCAGGGATTTCTCAGTTTAAACAAGCAAAGCGTGACAGCTCATACAATATTTATTAAACTACAGTCTGACCAGGCAGAGCCAGAAATATTTCAGTCTCGCTAATCCTGCTGATGTCCAAGTGGCAGCATGCCTTCTCATATTTGATCTTCTAAGATTCAAATGCGCCATCTCCCACCACATTCATTTTTATCTCATCCTTTTATTCACAATATATCATCACTACGAAAGACAATTAACGACAAAAAGGAGAAACCACGGCATTTCACCTTCCCACCCCTTGCCATGTCTCTCATGCTGGGCCTTTGTCACACATTTGCAAGACCTGTGCCACTTGCGGTTCCTGGATGTCACAACCAATTAGAAGCCCGGTGCGCTTCCCTTCAAAAGGTTTACTTTGAAGCCAGAAATGCCGGCACAAATTCTCAGCTGGTAGAAAACCATATAACTCTACTGAATCCTGAGAATCCAGCCCAGCATGAATGCTGTAACACACAAAGGAGTGATGAGATTTACAATTCAGAATTTCACTGCAGGAAAAAAACACTCTGTCACTAAATGAGGCTTTGCAGACAGAAAGAGGAGAGACTGGCTTGAAAAACAACCTGAAACTCAAACACGCAACTACTGAGGGAATGCCATGGACTGAAACCAAACTCCAAAGAAAAAGTATTCAAGCATGTTTTCTAATTGGGTGTCTCAATTTTTCCTGTGCAGCTTAAAGCCCTCCAAATGAGCCTACACACTCAGAATCCATAACACACTTGCACTCTGAAAAGTACTGCAAATTAGACATCAAAAATCACTAGTCATCATTTAAAAAAACATCTTTGCCAGAGGCTCAAATTCACCTGATAAATAAATATAATGCCCACTTTACAGCATCAAACTATTTGTCTGTCCAATGTCACTTTTATCATAGCAGAGGATAAAGCTTCAAAGAACCAAAATCGTCTCCACTGACATCAGAAAGGGGAATGGAGATATAAACAATCCAGCACAGAAAATTTTTGTCTTTAAGATATCATTATCTGTATCACTATTTTTGTCTTTAAGATATCATTATCTGTATCACTATCTTCACCTAGCAGGTGTTATTACTGGTCATAAATACTATCTAGTTTCTTTTTAAAAAGCTGATGCAGGAGATACAAAACTATGTGTCCCGCACACCAGTAAGTTCTCTGATACCCGGTTTGCTATCAACGCAGACAGACAATCCATTGGTACTAAGTTCCAAGGCACAAGTAAGACTCAGAGATAAAGTGTCCAAGAGTTGACAGTTGAAGAAAATAATCCTTGTTTTGGAGGTCAAGAACCTTAGTACCTTACAAAATTTTATATTTTTTTCCTACAGGTGTCACGATTGCCAGAAACAAAATATGACTTATCAAAGCTTTCAAAAATTATTTCATGTGAAAGCATAAGGAGTGCTGTCTGTGGAACATGTATGTTAAAACTTCAGTCAAGCCTTGCAAAGTCCAACATTTTCTCATCATAGGAGGACCCAGATATAAAGCCACATCCTGCCATCTATTCACCAAATTTTATACAAAAACGTAGGACTCCTTGATCAGAATCATGAATGAATAATCAATGCACGGACTACTTCAGTTAGAAACATACTTTGAAATATTGTGCTATACTCTACCACCTCTTCATAGTCACGAATACACCAAAACCCCATGCAACACCTTATATTCATCCTCTGTTGATTAAAATCAGTAAGATCCAAAGTTCTGAAACTCCAGAATCTTGGGTTTAAACTTCTAGACAACAAACAGTATTTACGTACTGCTTTGCAACACTATTCTAGTATAATTTGTACAAAGGAAGTTATATAACTAGGCTTTTAAAAATTAACACACTTCTAAGTATGGTGCTATTTATTTGGAGTATGTCTACTCATTACCAGTGCCTAGGAACACCCCCCACCGCTAGACAACTGAAAAATGTACTTGCAGAAACGTCTACAGAAACGCTGTTCTTCATAACTCAACCTCAGTAACTACAAGGGGACTTTCCCAGCAGTTCCATGGTGACATGGTAAACACGACTCGATAGCCTGTGACCGGACTCGTACGCTGGGAAGCCCACCGAGGCTTGCCAGGATCCAGAGGACAGGCAACCTGGCGTTTCAGAGACAATAGGCCTGTCAGGGTGCTGAGCACAGCCCTGGGCTCCCAACCTGGGGCCTGAATGCTGGGAAGGAGCTGCATGAGGCCTCACTGAGAGCATGGCCCAGCCGGCACTGCATCACCCCAGCTCCTGTGCCCCATGGGACAGTCCCCAGGCACTGCTCTGTCAGTGCCCCTCCTCATACCGCGCAATTGCTGGGTATATCATCTGTTCGTGTTTTGCTCGATTTCTGCAGAAAGCACCATACAAATGAACCGGGAATACGATCCATTTAGAATAAGAGCTTTCTATTTTCAGGTTGATTTTCACACTTCAAAAAAAAAGAAAAATTGGGAATACATACACCCCCTCACCACAGGTGCCTGAAAGGGAAAATACTTTTTATGCTCTCTATAAAAATAACTGTCTGCTTGTAATGAAATGTCATATTTCCTACACAATATAGAACAATATAGGTTTATACAGTAATCTTCAGTGAAACATCGCTTCATGCTTGAATGATAATGCAATCTCAGCAAAATAAATAAATAAATAAAGATATGACTTTCATATGCCCTTCTATGTGATTATATTTCCTTAATTTGAAATACTGTCTGTCTGGAGGGGTTTTTTAAACATATCAGAGTGTTTCTAAAATTAAACAAGCAAAAAAAAGCAAGCATACAGTTATTTGAAAGAACAACAGATACAAATCATCTCAGAGCATCAAGTAAAGGCAACTTTCTGCTGTTAGCAAAACAGAGAAGCAGAAGACACACCTATGTCAGACAGAGAACATATTTGTTGCTTGATTTTAATTCCTTTCTTTAAGCCACAGGTCCAAGGAAGAAGTGCCAAACACTAAGCAATGGTACACTTTGCCAGGACAGACCCATTTAGCCATTGCCATCCCACATTTCCCAGCCCAGCGCCATCTTCCCCAATCCCAGGGATGCCTCCTTGCCTCCTCCTGGCTGCCTTGTCCCACCTGAGCTCATTCAGCCCCTGACCAGCACAGCCCTACCAAGCCAAAAAGAGCTACGAGAGGAACCGGCACCCAGGACTACGCTCAGGCAGGGCCTCAGCAGCTGTGGCACGACTCTGGCCAGGATTTGCAGAGGAAGACCACAGTACCCTGCTTAGTTGCAGCAAGTTCTTACACGTTCAGCCACCTTGATAAATTTAAATGCAATTACTCACAATACTTACTTTCAGCACTTTCAAGATAAGTCTTAAATTTTTAATTTAGCATGGGTTTGTTTTCATTTCATTGTAAGACCGGTCCAGATGAAAAGTAATGCTGCTCTGGGGCCAATGATGTCAGGGCAAGACTTACATTGTACGTATGAAATGTACAGGTGTTTTGGTACACACTAGCCCTACATGACAAATGGAATTAAGAAGGTACAATAACGCAGGATTAGTATCAGTCCTTACAAACCTGATTTAGGTCCTCAAGTCACATCTTCCTGTGTGCATCCACTGTTCTATGCATCACCAGCTCTGGCAACTAAAAATTGAAACCTCGGGCTTTTGCCACTTGTAGTCCAGAACATATTAGAGGTCCCAAATAAGAGAAAGGGAGAAGTTGGCTTCAACTCCACTGGAAACAGTGTGAGAAAATTATCACCACACAAAAGCAGACAAAACGAGTTAGAGAAAGAAAAGGATAATGCTAGGAAAGCAGGCAAAGTTCTTGCCAAACTTACTTTGATGACAGTGTCAACAATCTGTGGTACAAAGGGAAGTACATGACCATTTGGGCTGAATTTTTAAGCAATGAAAAATGTGCACCAGTTCTTACAAGCTGAATCCCGATCCATCTGGGAAATCATTTTTCTTTAACAGCTGCTTCTATTAGAGAAAAAAATGCTAAAATTCAGTTCTAAATCAACCCGTGTTTTCTAAAGCAACAGATAACATTTCATCATTCCCTAGTCTGCTTGAATACCTTTTCCTTTTACTTCCTTACTTTGCTAGAGAATATAGTGCAGAACACATTGCTTTATTGGTACCTTCAATCACTTTAAAGCTATTTGTTTCAACGTGCTTTCAGGAGAACCTTTGCACAGTCACTCTGGACAAGCAAGCAGAAATTAACCCTGCAACAACAGAGAATCCAGATTTCAGCTATAGCAATTAAAGAACTTAATATTGCAGCATATTGGCTTTTATCCTGCTATGGGTAAAATCCAATAAAACTGAAATCTCTAAAAAAAAAAAAAGGCAGGCAAAACCCAAAAAAACAATACCCCATTTTTAAGTCATCAGCTTTGCAAAACTGGAACTAAGAGTAGAAGGAGGATCCAAAACTAGCAACTCTCAGTGTAGACAGTTTCTATAAGCTGCTCAG